TAAAACTCTAGTCTATTTTGCCTATTCAAGGGGTCGGGGGAGGTTTGCACATAGGTCTCCTCTTCAACGTCTCAGCCAAACCTCCCGCCAAGATATATTATCGCAATCAAATTTGTAAGAATCTACCAATCGGGAGAAGCACCCGCGGAATACCGCGAGCGTACAACGCTATTTAGAAGCAGGATAGTAACCCTATTGATGGAAGCGAGGCCGAGAGAAGCGAGGCTGTTCTTCATCGAGTTTGGCGAGCTACAAGCCCCATTGCGATTCCTTGAAGCACTTTTGGTCATGGTTACAGACCTACAAAACATTACCACAGACTACACAGAGCTGGTCGGGCGTCCAACAAGTTTCGCACAGTCTCTCCTGGGGCGGCGGTAAAAAAGGTATTTAGATCCGGGCGTTATACAGGGGTTGCCTCCTGGGCGCATGAGATGACATGCAGCAGTACTCCGTTTGGGTCTCGGAGGACAAATGGATTCGCTCATTATCACCATAGATTCCGTCGTACAGAGCGCTCCCACACCCATCCCAAGCTTGGCGCGCTACTGCACATGAAGCACCTAAAATGCTGCTGTTGTACTCATTCGTGGTCATGCCCACACCCAAAGCAAAGCACGTGCATGTCTCCATGCCACACATGCACCGGGTCGTTTTGCACACATCGGGGTATCCTGCAGCGCGTTCGTTTGTTTGTTGTACCACTTTTCGACAATCTCGTCGAAAGACATGTTCAGCGATGCATCCGATTTTTCGGTTGCGATGGTTGCTTTTACATCGACACGACAAACACAGGGGGCGAACCGCACGCGGAGTGTTTGCAGAGCTGACCACATCTGTGATGCCTCGGGTGAGCTCAGCCCTGATCGATCAGGCACCCTGAACTCAAGCGCCCGCGGCGACGCCCGGCGCGGGAGAAAAAAAAAGGTCTACGGCAAATTCGAAGGCGTTTGCCTGAGATACATTCCCATGCCTGAAATGTCAAAGTTGCATAGTGCCTGGACGTGCCTGACATGTGCCTGAGACTTTTGTGTATAGGATTCAGGACAGCACACCGAACCGAACTTCTCTCAAGGCCAAACTAACAAGCCGGGGGGGGTAGTAGTGCATCCCTGTCTTAAACAGTGGAGCCCCACATCTGAGGTAGCTTGGTGGCCTGACGGAGCCTCCAGACCCCCGCCGGGTCCCAGTGTTATGGGAGGTGGCGATAATATTTCCTCGCTTCCGTGAAGGTGATACTTTCGTTGCCTTGCCCCAAGTCAGGCGTCTCAGGCACCACTGTGTCAGGCAAACCCCTGTATGATAAAAGGGGCTCTCTGGCAAATACTAGGGAATGCCTGAGCAACCATGGCTCACGGTGAACTAAAACAAGGTCGACTCAACCCCAAGAAGTGGGTTGTCCTTTTCACATATCTCCATATTCGGATTCGTCCCTTTGGCACAAAAACGTACAATAGAAACAGAGAACGACGCAAGAGGTGGATTGTTTTGCACCGTTTCTCGCAGCTCCAGTCGACATTGGTGACTCTCGCGCGGCCATATTCGCGCCAATATTCAACTGCAGTATTATGTCTCCCCATGCGGGCAAAAAAAATAAAAAATCGGGCAGTATCGACAATCGATGGAGGTGTACACACATCTGCAAACTCGTGGGACGACTACATGGTGTAAATTGGGATCACCGCTACAGCCGCGCCTGAGTAGCTACGAAAAGCTGACCAAACTCAAGCATGGTGACTCCTCAGAGCGGCCAGCTGTGGCGCAACCCCCGTAGAAACGATGACGGGACTGCCTCCAATGCTGGAAAAAACATCGGATTGGTCTCTTGAAGTGCTCAGTGCTCCGTATGGGTAGGATGTACTTGGGATCCTTACCGTACGATGTGCACGCAAGATGTACAAAAATGCAGCATTGTTGACCTGTACGACGGGTAGCAGAAAGAACCTCAGAAAATTCACAAGACGGTGCTGTTCCCCAGATTTGCGAGCGTTTCGAGTAGCACAAACAAAAAAACGGAGGGCCACTTTTCCGTCCGGGTGCATAGATTTACGTGTTCGTGGTAGTGTGTGACGTGTTCGTGTCTCAACTTCTCAAAACCCTGGGTGATCTACAAATATATGCGTACATAAGGAAAAAGTTCATGGGCACTGTACTCCTCTACCGTACGGCACGTTCATCGCGTATTCAACAGCCTTTCGGGCAAGCGTGGTTAAGCGGTAGAGAAGGTGAGGTCTGAACACAACATGGAACAAGTGCAGGCGGAGCCTCCTGACCCGCAGGAATTATCCGTGCCCGAAAACACAAAATTCTAAATTCTCAAGCGCAGAGCGAACAAAATAGAAAAAAGGAGAAACGGAAGAAACCAGACCCCTTGGGTAGATTTCTACCGGGGGTGATGTACCGTACCGTAGGTCGCACAAGACACCACCCCCTCAACATGCCCCAACACCAAATCTCAACGCCCGACTATCCATAGAGCGTTGAAGCCACGATCCGACAACGACGCCTACTGTTCGCGGGAGCATTGGCAAGGCAGCTGGACGGGCGACTCCCGAAACGACTGATGCTCGGCGAACTGGAGGGGGGGGAGAAGCGACGTAGGGGGGACAGGAACAGAAGTGGCCGAAGTGGGTGCTCGACGACCTGAAGGCATTCGGGGCCGACCACGGATCTACAAAAAACCGATCCATGTTGTCTCGGAATCCCTGTACGAAAGACACGGCACCGAAGTTAAAGTGGACGGAAGCCGCGAAGGTGGAGGGGGAGTACCCTGGCATGCGGCGGTGCTGAAGGGAGCTGAGAGGTTCATGACCTCCTGGCGCAAGAAGGAAGAAGAGGCCAGCCGACAACGAGCGCTCAAACGAGACCACAAGCCAACAACCAATGGGGCGGGAGGGGGGCAGGATACGGACGAGACGGCGAGGGAAGAAAGTAAACGACAAGAGACAGACCGAGTGGCGTGATACGTGCCGGATTGAATTTCTTTTAGCCAATCCCCCCCCCCCAACGCTGCACCATTGCACCAACCCCCCACTAGTGATGACGTACCATTACCATGTATCGCTGGTTGGTTGCCATGTTTGCGTGTTTGCTTGTTCGTTCGTTAGTGGTCTCTCCACCGTGTGCCTTATTCTGTCTCTTATTTCTTGTTATCTCTTTTTGTCCTCGCTCTTTTCTTTATCGGTTTCTTTTTCGTTTTCTTTTCGCTTTTCTTCCTGTTTCCTTTTATTTTTTTCTCATTTTCTCTTTTTTCTCGTTGTCGCTCTTTTTTCTCTCTTTTTCTGTGTCAGATGGCCTTGACTCTGCTTGCGTGTGAAGCACCAAGATTGAACCTCTTTCTCTCTGGCCCGTGATGCTGACTCGTAGTCTCAGTTGTTACCTCGCATAGCGCGCAGAGGGAGCGGAGGACTCCAGAATATCTGTCGTTGATTTCTATCGACTTGCGGACCCCTCGGCGCCAGTTTGTTTGGCCAGTGTGTTTGAGCGTACCTTTTTAGGGTAAATTAGCCTGTGACCACGGGAATCGACCGCGTCAAGTGTTGGATCAGGTCGGACATATGAAGGTACTGGGTAAAGAGAGATCGGAACGGTTATTAAATCTTACGTGACTACAGGCCGATTCAGCTCCGTTCTCAGCTCCGATCACTTTGCGTGCCGAAAGATCGCCGTTGTGCCTCTCGGCTAAAAGCTAAAACCATACATAGAGACCAGCAGGGATATACTGTATACAATAGATGCGGCGATTGCTTTCTAGAGGCGCATCAGGCTCCGCCTGGAACACAGGCAGCCCACCCCAAAAGCACGCTTATCAGCAATGGTACAATACTATTCACCCAGGCCTAATCTCTCTGACGTGGGGCAGATATCCTTTCCAGATCCAATCTACTGCCTACCGGTACTGTAAGATTCAAACGCAAAATACCACCGGAGGCACCCTGAACATGTGATCAACCCGGTGCTGCATCCGCGGGGGAGAGCAGAGAAACTGCACACCGGAGCCGATGCTAACGTACTGCCTCGGTGCTTGATATTGTTGTGACTGCGGTGCGTGTTGGTTCCCAGTATTGAGAGTGAAGGGTGGTTCGTCTGCTGTGTGAAAAATTTCGCTCAAAGGCAAGGTTATTCGGGACTACAGCTCCGATCACAGCTCTGATCACAGCTCTATATTTGTAGTACAGAATAGTAAATTTTATCACGATTTTTATGCATTTTTTGCGATAGTGGATGATGGTCTCGATTCTCTGATGAGCGGGCCGTTTTTTTCGTCGATCTGGCGCTTCTGTGAGGCGATTTCCCGTCAGCATCTTCGCATCTAGCCCCGCTAGCATATGCGCTTGCCGTATGCTCTCTGTCCAAGGATGAGGTCGAGAAGATGTGCCAACAGGTATTACTTGCACAGGTACATCCTGTGTGCGGACGGTTGCTATCGGAGACAGGCATGCACACCTGCTCAAAAATGCTGCTGCTGTACAGCAGTAGTACCAGTGTACTCCTGTTCGTCGCCCTTACATATACCGCGTCCCGATCCCTGTGAGCCCCGCACAGGGACCCACTGCTTCACCATCCTTGCCGCCGTGATTTGTGGGTGTACACGAATGCTTGGAAGATCTTTGACCGCAGAGAGCCAGTAGCGGAGAAAAAAAATACAACAATCAAATTAACACAGTCACAGGGTTAAGAAGACAACAATATCCATGACGAAGAGGATGACAACATCAATTTATTACGGATGCGACACCGCCATTTTCGGCACCATCAAAATTGTCGCTGAAGAGTAATCGAGCTTGATTACGGGTACATAATTCCACCAACGTACAGTACACAAGCAGGAGTATCACGTGTACATGCATACGGCTGTGTAGACTATGTCCACTCTGTAAGCCTACCTTGGGATTGAAGAACGGAATACGAGGCAGAGAGGTGCGAGACGACAGACAACGACGTGATTCACGGCAGGCCAGTCCACAATCCACAGCAGTCCACAGGCCGTAGTCTCACCTATGTATGTCTACGGCAGTCGCGGCGTCGCCACAGCACGGGTGTGTGTATAGGATGGCTGCACAGCGGCGCAACTGAAAACTGACAGTCCCGTGCAATGCGGGCCTTGCCGCAGTAGCCGATGTGCAATAGGCAGACCTCACGCGGGTAGGAGCTGAGAGTTGGCTTCGTGGCTGTGAACAAGGGGCGTGCTTCCTCTGCCCCTTCCTACCAATTGTCGCGCGCGACCGACCCAGGGCTGCCCAGAGGGCACAGCAACATCGCAGGTGTGTAACTATAACATTTGAACCTCCGTGGTGGCATCCAGCAAGTTGAAGCTACTGCTGTACATGTAGCTGCGCGGACCTTGGTCTGCTGTCTAGTAAGTCAAGGGCCTGTACGTCCGTACCGGTACTCCGCCGCCGTGTTTGCAACAATGGAAACACCTACTTCACGCTCTCTTGTAGAAATACAGGAGTCACATTTGCGCCTCCTTCAACAAACAACGGCACACGGCACACAGCGATGGCTGTCCGTCGCCGCGCCCAGCCTTTCAACCAAATCATGTATACAGAGTTCACCTGCACCATCCATTAGCCCTCCTACAGTACAGCTATTAGATACAGGTGGCAGGTTAAAAGGCTATGGGTCCAGAAAAATCGCGCCCGCTCATTGGGAGAGGCTGTACAGCTGTACAGTCCAGAGGGCGCAGAGCTGACGTGGCTTCAGTATGGAAAATGTCTCCAATGTAGAGTTATTCAAGAACTCGACTCACGGACCGGGTGGCCTTTTTTGGACCTTTTCGCGCTTTATCCATTTTTTGGTCTAGCACGCGACTCAACGGTAGATCTTCGCGGGATAAGATTACAGAAATGTTCACCTGTGCCAATACAGTGGGGGCCCCGGTTTAGCGACCCCTGTTTAACGACCCCCTGTTTAGCGACATGCGCTGTTTAGCGACCCCAAAATCTCGTGACACCGCTGCACCGCGGTTTAGCGACCAGGTGGTCGCCAAACCGGTCGAACCCTCACTAGCGACTTATTGGGATGTTTTCAACGGGCTAGCGAGCACCGCTTCGAATTTGCAGAGACCCCGCGTCCCTCCGCACACAAAGACACAAGATGCCGTGCGCCGATGGAGAGTTGTGCAAACAGCCGGATGTGGAGCTCCTGGCACCCCAGGGGCATGTTCGCCGCGGTGGCTGCGGTGGACGCCTGCACCGGATGTTTGGGGAGGTGGAGGTTCTCGATGGCATTGAGATGCACCGCACCTGCCACGAGTGTGCATTCAAGAACATGCAGGATCCCCCACCCGTCTCGAATCCACCCAAACGGGAAGAGGCAAAATATCGCCAAGGCTTTGCAGAAAGACGCAAACGACGTGCTCATCGAGAAAATGAACGATACGTACTTGGAGGAGACGAACCCTTCCGGCGATGAGATATAGAGCTAGACGGGGCGGGAGAAGTTGGCAGCGCGGGGGGTGGGGAAGCGATGGACCCGCCGCCCTTCGGAGCTTTCGTCGCATTTTGGATCGCTACAAGAGTGCGCGGAGTCGTGTGGGTTAAGCGAGGAGAGCACCATCTTCGCAAGGCAAAGATGCTGTTCATCGAAGCATACTCCGCGAAACCAGCCCGACAGAGCGGCATAAGAGCAGCGTTTAGTTAAACATGATAGGTACACTCGATAGCAGCGCGAGGTTCTTTGTCGCTGGGCCGTTCACGAACTTTCTCCGTGCCATGACTTTTTGTTTGTTCGGGGAACGTTGCCATGACGGATTTCCCCTTTCCCGCCTATTTATTAATATTTCGTAGACGAGACTTTTGCGTGCTTTTTTTGTGTTGGTCTACATGTAGGGACAGATTGTTCAGCATGCGGTAACATAAAAAGACACAGGACACCCTCTGAAAACTTGTCATTATAATGAGACATTTCCTACAAACTTCGGAGGGTACCACAAGCTTGCTGGTTGATTGGATGCAACATACCGTATAGGAACTACTCCCGGGTCGTCCACCCTAAGGTGCATCTTCTTTCCTCTACCTTCATGTGACAACTGCAATACGACGAATACATGACCAGGTCAAGAAAATTTCTGTAACACGGCCTTTAGTTCCACGAAATGGCGCTTCTTCCCGGTGTAGAGATCGCTAGTCGCTATTGACGCTCCCGGTTTGGCGACATGCCCTGAATAGCGACCATATTTCGTCGTGGCACTAAGGGTCGCTATACCGGGGGGCCCACGGTAGAAGATCGGGCTGCTGGTGTTGGGCTGGGGGGCTTCCGTGGTTGTCCAGCAAAGTTTATGGTGAAACAAGCTAACATCTGAAGGTCGCTTTTGATGATGTGGTGATGACATGTACACATACGCTTTCGTAGTGAACGAATAGCAGACAAAGCTGTGTCCCCAAGTGTCCCCATTTGGGCCAGTACTATTGTACATGTAGGAGGGTTAAACCTCGCACGTAAAAGGCGAAGGTTTTTCAAGTACCGAGAGCGGAGGCGAGTCTAACGCGCCCGTCTTATATTTCTTACACACCCATCACCCGGCGAACGTTGGATAGAAAGAAAAGTGCCGACACAACGAAATAATACCAACGGAACTGTTCGACCGCTTTTGTAATGATATGGAGGGGTTATTTCGTATCGTACGTGGGCCAGCAACTGTTGCTATTTCGTTCTGGTCTGCGACCCACCACTCGGTCCCCGCATCCACCCCTTTGTCAGCGATAGTAGATCACGGGATCTCTTTGAACAGAGACACAAGATGGCCACCAAAGTGTGTTGTTGAGCCTGTTTCCCACAGGGGAGATGTCGCTGTGTGCTGCTAGGGAAACGTAGAAATACGGGTAATCTCCGCTGACGCTATGCATTTCATTTGCTAGTCTATGATCATAGACTAGGTTTGGATAGAGATGGATTTGTTGTGTCACTATTTTTGCTAAAATTATAGGCCATCAATAAAGAAACCGGCGTGCATCGAACCGGAACGCAGAGTTTCCAAAAGCAACGAAAATTCGGTCCATTATTTGAGGTAAGTTGGCAAAGAGTACACTTGCAACACAGCACGAGGGAGCGTCTTCACATTCCACACCACACACACTGCACACAAGATGATACCGCTGACCAACAGCAGCGCGAGACATACTGCAGCAGCAGCAGCAATGTGCCCCCGTTTTGTATGGCTTTGCACCCCTTCCACCGAGTCGTGCCATAGGCAGGGTGTTCCCGAGCCGCGCAACTCTCAAGGGGCTCACAGGTCTCGACCCCGTCTCCCCACGTCGACACACAACTGCCGGCCCGCGCAATTCTCAAGGAGCCTACTGGCCGTAACCCCAACTACCCACCTCCACACGACTGCAATCCAACACCTCAACACCTCAACCACAGCCAATTCGTTGTTATGCCGACCACTCAACTCAAACTCTAGGTCTAGTTTTGCTACGAAACGGATAAAATCCGCAACCTGTTACTCCCACAGTTCTGTGGATCTTGCTGTTCTAAATGTTGGCGTGGGTGTGAAGTGTGGGTGCACCAATCTGGTTAAGACCAGCCCTTAGAATACGTGGGCGGACCCCGCGAATGCATGTTAAACCTCACAAGTCAGTAGATTGTACGCAGAGGAGGGCGTGGTTTTCCCGCAAGCACACCATAGCACACTGATGAATTTGCCAGCACCCGACACGCGGGGCTACAGGGCGGCAGTTCTACGACATGCTACCGCACCAGCTCCATGACTTGCTACAACACCTCACCACTGTGAAAATCAAAAAGTCTTGACGAGATGATGATCGTGATGAGTAGATTGAGCGGTTCGAGCGTTTGAGGACGGTACTATTATTCTGAGACAAGTGTTGCAGGAAGTACGTGCGTGCATCGTTCCATCAACATGTCCCGGGTGCCCGTCTGCACCGTTCACTTCATTGAAGTGCTATCCAGGTATCGTGAAAGTGAGAACGGCCACAATATGCTTCGTTTCCAGTCAAATGAGCAGAAGACCTTCTCAGAAATACTGGAAGCGTCTGCCCGGGAAACAAATGACATTCTTTCTCAGAGGCGGAAGGTGATGGATCAGGCGTGGGCCGACATTGATGAGGGATGGCAAGCGCTCCAGGAGCATATGGCAAAGATCGGCATTACAAAGCCCTTAGACTTGAAGGAAGGCCTGGTCAAGTTGAACGTTGGCGGTTCGCTTCTCGCCTTTCGTCGCTCGGTCTTTGAGGGTAAAGGAAAGGGTGCGACTTCGGCGCTGGGAAGCCTGTGCGAGGCTGAGTGGGACAAGCGCATTCCTCGTGATTCAGATGGCCGCATCGTGCTTGATGAGTCGCCGACGTGCGTCAAGCGCCTCTTCCACGACCTTCTTACCCCTCCGTCCTTGGCCAAGGGTACGGTAGTTCGCGAGGATAATTTCGCCAGCGACGAGACACCCGACCTTCTCCGCTACACGGCGCACGTCCTCGGTCTGTCGTGGCATTTAGCGCCCATCGGAATGTCGATAACGGGAGGGACAACCATCTTCGAACCTCACGAAGCCAGCAGGCTGACTGCTGTCATTCAAGGTTGGTGTCCTGGGCATCCTGGTCGGCTGGAACTGCTCTACCGTGCTTCCCGCGACGGCTGGAATAGTGCCGCCTTCCAAGCTACGTGTGGAGACGATAGGCCCTCGACGGTTACCTTCTTCCGGGTGAAGGGCCAAGGGACAGGTGGGACGGACAGTATCGTCGGAGGATTCTCCAGCGTTCCGTGGACTCCTCCAGGTGGTTCCACAGGCTACACCGCTTCACCAGGGGCATTTTTGTTCATGCTCAAGGACGCAGGCAAGAGAATTGGATCGGCCTGCAGTACCATGCATGCCATGTCCACCATCTGGTGATTCCGTCGGGGGGGCGGGGGTGTCCAAGCACACAACCTACGGCAAGTATGAGGCAGTTGATGCTTACGTCGGGCGATGTTCACACCCAGGCTTTATAGGAAATCTCCATTTCTCGCGTCGAAAAATAATCGTTGCCCTATACGATAGACTACTGTAGAGCATACACCCATATCGGGAAGTTCTCTGGGTTGTTAATATCGACCCCATGTACACTTGAAACCTTTGTCGGAAACGCAAAAAATGAGGCAGTTCTAAACGGGTCTGATTCTTCCGAATCCGGTCCTCGTACAAGGCGGAAACGCGTCACCGGCGTCGCCAAGCACAAGGTTGTGCACGACGGTAGGTGTCAAGCCTGCGTCGCCCGTGTCCTACAACTGTTGTCCACAATAGCTCCAGGTCCACCTCCAGCTCAATCTTCCCCGCTGCTCATCTGCCTAGAAACATGCCTGTGTCGGTGATAGCTGTTGCCGCTTTGCCTGCCACTCCCGGCATCACTCCGGGAGTGGGCCTCTGAACAAAAGATAATGCCCGTGTCCGGTCCGGCTTAGCAGCCACAAACACGTCCCCCCAGGGTTGCCATCCCTGTGATCAGCGCTGTCTTGCCCGGAAATCGCTATCGGTACAAGAGGTTCATCGGCATATATTGCGAAGCCTATTTCCACAGACGT